CTAGGCGGGTCTCGAACCCGCAGGCTCAGGCAATCCACTCACCTCAGCCTCCCAAAGGCGTGGGATTACAGGCTGAGGCACCGAGCCCGGCTAAAACTTTGTTCTTCAAAGCATGCTTTCAAGAAAGTGACAAACCACACAATGGGAAAAAATATTTGCAAATCATATATCTGACAAGGGCCTTTTATCCAGAATATATGAAGAAATTTTAAAGCTCAACAATAAAAGACAAATAACCTGATAAAAAATGGACCAAGAACTTGAATAGACATTTCCTCGTAAGACATACAAATAGCAAATGACATGAGAAGATGCTCAATATTCTTAGCCATCAGGAAAACAAAAACCAAACCATTAGGATGGCCATAACAAAAAAGAGGACAATAAGAGCTTTTTTAACAAGGTATGGAGCTAACACAGATAGTACTGGTAGGAATGTAAATGGTACAACTGCTATGGAAAACAGTTTGGCAGCTCCTGGCAATTCCACTCTTAGGTAGATTCCCAAGAAAAATTAAAACATCGTATCTGCACAAAAACGTGTACAGGAATGTTCATAGTGGCATTATAATAGGCAAAAAGTGAAAACAACATAATGCCCATCAACTGATGAGTAACTAAACAAAATGTGCTATATCCACACAATGGATTACTATTCAGTCTTTAAAAAAATGATGTACTGATACATGACACAACATGGATGAATCTTGAAAACATTTTACTAAGTGAAAGAAATGAATTACAAAAGACTACATATTATATGACTCTATTTATATTAAATGTCCAGAACAGGCAAATCCATAGAGATGGGAAGTAGATTAGTCATTGCCAGGGAGTAAGAGCAAGCAAAATTGGAAGTTCTACTCCCCATTTAATTATCTATTTATTTATTTTTTGAGTTGGGGCCTCATTCTGTTGCCTAGGCTAGAGGGCACGATCATGGCTCACCACAGCCTCAACCTCTTGGGCTCAGGCAATCCTTCTGTGTCAGCCTTCTAAGTAGGTGGGACTTCAGGTGTGTGCCATCATGCCCGGCTACTTATTTTGTAGAAATGAGGTCTTGTTATGTTGCCTAGTCTGTTCTCGAATTCCTGGTCTCAAGCAATCCTCCTACCCTGGCCTCCCAAAGTGCTGAGATTGCAGACCACCGGCCCAACCTATTTATTCACTTTTGTGATAAAAATTTTCTGGAATTAGATGATGATGATGGTGCACAAGCTTGTCAATAAACTAAAAAAAATCTGAATTATATACTTTAAAAAGGTGAATTTTATGGTATGTGAATTTTATCTCAGTTTTTTTTTTTTAAAAAAAGGAGCTATAGAAGTCACAGGATAGATGTGAACACTACAGGATAGATGTGGGAAAGTATGTAGAATAATAAGAAAAAACGATGTGGCTGGAGCCTTGGGAAATAACCAGTATTTGAGGAGGTTCCATGAAGGAGTCAGAGTAGGAGGAAGAGAACAAGACAGGAATGTTGACTCAGAAGCGAGAGGAATAATTTAACGAAGAAAGGAGACGTTAAACAGGGCCAAATCGTGAAAATCTTGGGTAATCAGCAGTGTGTGTGTGTGTGTGTGTGTGTGTGTGTGTGTGTGTGTAGGAGAGGCATTTTTGGAGCACCTATGATGTGCCTGGCATTGTATGTCAACATACATTCTCTGAATTTATACAACAAATTTTGGTTTGGTGTTATATTTCCATTTTTACAGAAGTCAAGTAAAATAAGTACTATAAATTATAAGTCGGGTTTAGGAAAAATTAGGGTCACTGATGACTTTAGTGAAAGTGATTTTAGTAGGGTGATGGTTACAGAAGTGTAATTATAGTGGGGTTAGGTATGAAAGGGAAGTGGAAAGGTAGGGTAGACTGTGAAGGAAGAAAAGAGATCAGATTATGGTTAGAAAGAACACAGTTTGATACATTTTCCCTTTAAGATATAAGAGCCTTTAGCAGGTTTATAAGCAGAGGGGAAAGAATGAACAGAGAATAAGAGGACAGAGGTGTAGGGGAGAAGGAGAGGGAGAGGAGGGGAGGAGAGGAGAGAGGGAGGGGACGGAGAGGGAGAGGAGGGGTGTATAATTACTAGAGGAAGCATTAGATAAGGGGTTGCTCTTGGCCAGAAGAGATAGCTCCTTCCAACAAAATGGGAGATAATCAAATATGAATTGGATAAATGTAAATCGATGGAGTGGAGTATAGTCAATGGGAGTTCTCACTTGAAGATGTTCATTTTCTTAGCTAAGGAGTGAAGTAAGTCAGTGGTGAGAAGAGGGGCTTGAGAAAATTAATGAAAGTAGAGAACCGCTGATAGCGGAATACAAAAGAAAATTGATTATGGATGAGTAAAAGTACTGCCAAGCTATCCTGAGGGCCTGGCTGGAGTTAGAGATCACAGATTTTTGTGCCATCAAACTACCAACCAGCTTGACTTCTGTAGTAAACCTTGACTGGCTAATCAATGCCAAGGCTATGTTGCCATTTGAGCCCCAAGTAACCTAGGTGAATTTTGGTTGTCTCATTTAAAGAACAGACTGCAACCCCCTTGGAGAACTGAAGTGAGGGTCAAATGAGATTATGTGTATGTGTGTGGACACACAACACATTTGTATACAAATGTAAAGTGCCATTTTCATGACTGCTTTTGACAGTTCTTTTGCTCTGACCTAAAGGTTAGGAGGGGGCCTGTGGGGATTATAAGTCTGCTCTATTTGCCTTCATGCCCTGGGATGGGGGGTCATGGCTCTAGCACTCCTTAATGACCAGTCTGGACTTCGCATCTAAACGCTCTCTCTCTCTAAAGGGCATCTAAACGCTCTCACTTTCTAGTAATTTAATACAGGACCTGGCATATTATGGACCCAGATAAAAATCTGCAATCATCTTCCTTTCACCTCATTCCTCTTCTCTCAATCTGTGGCTAAATATCCTACCTTTGGGTGTGGCTTCTGATGCATTAAGGGCTCCCTGAATGACTGCCTGGGCCTCAGAGTTCTTTTTCTTCAGAAAGTCTATAGTTTCTCTCAAATCCAGCAGCTCAGTGTCCTAAGGGAAAAGTGAAAATGGTGTCATTAGTTGACAGACCTCTTACATTGTGTCAGGCAATGGGTAAGGCACTAATATTCTTCCAAATTTGATAGAGAAGGGTAGGGAGTTGGGACAAGGAAAACGGTCACATTGTCTTGGGGGCAGGTTGAAAATCCAGGGTAACAGTAAGGAAGGGAGAAACTGGCACTGATTGTTTGGGAGAATCCCCTCACAGCACCTGGCCCTCCCCTCCCAGGCCTCTCACCTTCTCCTCAGCTGTCTCTGCCAGATGTCGTAGGCGGGATGTCATATTTACCAGGCTCTGCTCGAAAGCAGCCACTAGATTAGCCTGAAACAAATACATTAAAAGTTTCCGAAACTGCTTGAGGCTGAGAGAAAGGAAATGGCTGACAATGGAAATAGTTTTAACTGATTTTTTGGGTCTCAGAGCTGACCAATGCCAGAAAACCTCTTTTAAAGTTTTAAAATATTGATTTAAAGGTTTTTAAATATTGATTTCCTTGAGCAGACAAAGAAGAATCAAAGAAATTTTCTGGTGGGAATTTTATTCTAGCATCTTGAATAATGAGGCCCGTTAGAGGCAGGGCAGGCTTTTTAAGGCTCTTCGAATCTTGAGAACCAGAATCTACATCTACCGGAGGTAGGACTGTCCCTCTTCTCTATGTGATATCTAGAAGTCCAGAACCTATGGGGTCGTACCTATTATTTTGGTTTAACTCTTCCGTTGTGAGGTTGGCTGGCACCCATGGGACCAAAGAACCTCCCATCAGAAACCGTTTGGTACATCTCTTCCACTTCTGCTCCTAGAGTGGCCCTCCACTGATTTTTGCTTTGAAGTTGCTCCTTGCTCCTGGTTTCTTCAAGCTCTACTTTGAAGGGCTAGAGAGAAGTAGGCTCAAGAAACTTCAGGGGCATTCCACGGTCTGGCCACTAGGTGTCAGATCTGTTTCATGAGCAGTGAAGGATACTGGAGGCCTATCTGGACAAGAGGCAGGCTAATTCTGAAGGTGCAAGTGGGGCTTATTAATAAGGCCACTTGGAGCATGGTTTGAACTCTAGCTGGCTAATTGGCAGTAGGATGTATAGGCAAAAGAAAGAGAATTTAGGCAATGGGACTAGAAAAGGGAACACTCGGGGATACAGAATTAGCCACTATGAGGGTATCTGAGCAATGTGGAGACCCTATCAAGAAGTAATACACATATTCTGGGCAGCTCCTTCATACAGAACTCTAGGATGTCTACGACATTCTCACTGCTCCTGCTGGCTCATAGTTCTCCCTCCCTGTTGGGTCACTTTAGTTTTCACCCACTGCCCTTGAAACATGTGTGGAGCCCACTTTCATTGGCTATGGCTAGAGGCGATCTGAATCGTTCCCATCTGAGCCTTCTCTTCAACTTTTACTATAAATCTGCCAAGGCTTGAGCTGTGTAGGAGATATATGTCATGCCTGAGCAGCTTCCTTTCACCTACTATACAGGGACTTCTGTCTTCTTGACTTCAGTTAATGCTCTTTGCTTCTCTACATGCCTGTAAACAGATTGCTTGTCGTCCCTGGAAAACTACTCAAGAGGAACCCCAAGAATTCCCGTGTGCTTTACTGCAATTGGCCTTCCCTCACCTGGGTAACTCCTTTTGCTCTGGCTGGATTTCCTGCCCTCTCTCTCCTACATTTCCTCTTCCTACTATAAACCTCTTCCTACTAATCCCTGTAAGATCTCAGGGTACCTGTAAGATCTCAGGGCTAAGTAGTGGTGCTGCAGAAAAGCTAGCATTTGAGAGGGGTAACGTGTTCTGGGCCCCTCCCTATCTAGGGCGTGCCCTCAGCTTCAGTGGCTAGGAAGTTCTATGGCACATGAAACCGGTTTGGTTTGGAATCAGAGGATCCTGAACAGAGTTGTGGATCCTTCCCAAGTCCTGGCATCACATCTCCTTCTTGAGGGCAGGGTTTTGACCCTTGGCAAAAAGATTCAGAACCCACTGTGTCTGGGTGTTTAGTTTGTTCTCGTTTAGCCAACTGGAACTTCCTGTTCTTCGAAAAATCATCCTCTAAATTCATTTTCTTGGCACTAGCCCAGGCTTGACAGCACGATGGCTGACAGATTGCAGTGTAAATGAATCAGACATAATAATGTTCTCTGCCTCCCTGGCGCCTCTTCCCCCAGCATCTCCCAGACATGAATTTCCTGGGGTGTGCAGGACGTGACCCAGGCCACTGGCCTGGGAGGGTGTGGCACAAGGGAGCGAAAAGATGGTTCTTGTGTATGTTGCAATTCTTATGGGTCCCGGTGAGTGGGAAAGAGTGCTTGCTATACACTTCAAACAAATTGGTAAGTATACAACTTATGAGTTGAGGGTTTTGGAAAAGAGAATAAAGAGAGTAAGTAGTGTGGTGAGAGAAATACAGCTGAAATATATTGGAAACATGCAAAATCTTGGTGGAGATTCTTCTACCTAATTCCAAGGGATAGACCCCAGGCCTGACAGCTGGGTTCCCCAGAGAGGAAGGGCAGAGAGAAAACCAGAAACTACTGCGGAAATTGCAGACATGGTTACTTTTGTGCAAACACTTGGAAAGCTCCTGCAGATCCGGCTCAGCTGTTGTTTACAGCATTGGGGAAAATGGCTCTTATGTTCTGTTTGCAAGTCAGTCACAGGAGAGAAACTACCACAGTCTAGTTGGAGGAGGTGGCTTCATTTCTTCCCATCTTTCAGAGTAAAAAAACTGAGGCCTAAGCAAAGAAAGTGACTCATTCCAAATGGAAGTACTGAGGGTAGGCTGAGAGCAGTTACAAAGAACTCTAGCTCTCAACCTAACGCTCAGATCGTTTCTGCCAACTGCCTAAGGAGATGGCTCAGAAGAGGCAGTTGGGAATGAAGCAGTTAGACTAGAATGAGAGGTAGGTTTCTCAGTAGTGTTGTTAATACCAGACAGAATTCTAATGGCAAATTCTGTGTATGTCTAGTTATGTGGCATAAACAAAGACATGAACATACCCTAGGGCAGTGGAGAAGGTTCTGAGGGCTCTGCAATTATAATCCATAACTATTTTTGTCCATGGCCAATGGCAAGGTTATTTCCACCCTCATGGAGAACCACTGATAATCAATCCTCTTTTCTTTCTCTAGGAAGCTCAAAGCATCAGACATGAACTCAGTCATAACTATTAATTAGAGTGGAAGCAAAATGGTTTTTTATCTTTAAAAAATTGAGGTGCAGAGAAGGGGAAGGACAATCCCCAAATCCTCTATTGTAGAGCTATAAAGATGACCCAATCCCTTGAAGTCTAAGCCCAGAGGATACTTTATCAAATAATTTTCCCCCATGGCTGAACTTATCTAACTATAGCCAAAATAACTGCCTGGGTCTTTCCCTACTTCTCACACAGCACTCACATTGGCAGAAAGCTGAGACGTCAGGGTGGCCACTTTTTCCTGGGATGATTCCAGTTCCCTACGAAGCTTCCGGATTTGCTGTGAAAGGAAGAGAAATACAAACTACTGGTGGCGGAAGACATATAAGATTAGGAAGAAAAATGGGGTACAGCGATGTTAACAAGCAGAGACAAAGGCTATGCACCCTACCTCAGATTGCATCCTCTCCTCAGCCTGAAGAAGGGAGCACAGAAGGAGAGAAAGAAAGAAAGGAAGTAGTTACTAAGAGGTGAGGAAGTCAGGTCCCAGTGGCAGGATAGAGAACTGGAAGAAGCGTGATTCAGAGGTACAGAGAGGCTAAATCTCTTGTTTCCTGGCCCTGGCTCCTCATAGGACTCAGCTCAGATGTATACTAGGGTTTCAATAAAATATTTCTCTGGAGCTCATCTCTAGCCAACTCTGTCGTTGCCAAGAAGGCTAGGAAATGAGACTTTGGTCGGTCTGAAAACTGTTACTGCCAGCAATTTGGAGTAAAGAATTAGGGGCAAAACAAATCTAAGAACCAAGGACAGCCTAATAGTCAAATGCTGTGGCTGGTGCTCCACAATGAACACTTGGTCAGTTCTGGACACTGTTAGGGTGCTAGAGGCCTAGAAACTTACATCTCAGCTTGCCATAATGTTTCCCACTTACTGTGGCACAGAAAGGGCTCTATAACAAGGGAATTCTCTATTTTTCAGAGGAGAAAAAATGTTACCAGGCTTGCTCAGGAGTTGGCGGTGAGGTCTGAAAGACCACTGAGGATGTGAGGCACCCAAGCGAGTGCTCTAAGCTCTAGGCACCCTTCCCTGCCCCTACTTTAGATCCATAAGGTGCAACGAAGAAATAGCAGTGCCCCCATCCCCCACCCAGTTACCCAACCAGAGGAAGTTCTAGGGGGCATGGAATGATAGGGCAGAGGGGATTAGGGAGGAAGGAAGAGAAGTTCATGCTCTTACTGAGGAGTAGGTGGAGGAGGCACTGGAGGCCAGGGACAGCACTGAGCCGTGAACTGAAAAAGAACACAGACAGTTAATGGAGGGTTCCAAGAACAAGGGGTTCTTGGGAAGAGCCCTAAGGCAGAGTTTGGATTCTGATTCTGGAGGGCATCTGGAGCAAACAGAAAGAACAGAGCAGGGAACCCAACTGGAGTCACAATAGCCCAAAGCAGGCAGGTGTCTGCAGAGGACAGGTCCTGAGTGGTCAGCTTCCTCTTCCAGCCTATATCCTCTGTCAGCCTGGGTATGGTAGCCCTTGCTTAGCCTGTTCCAAAGGGCACAGGGTTTTGAGAAGGGAAAGGAGATTTTTGTGGTAGTTGTCATCTTATCTTCCCTGTCAGGAAAGTATTTTCACTGAAGAAGAGGGGAGTTTCTCATCAGAGCTGCTCAGAATATAAGCTGCAATTCTGCCTGAATTCTTATTCTTATCCTTCCTCCTCTCAGCTTTGGGGGAACTTGCCTAGGATCTTGGGGATCATACAGATGAAAACAATATTTAAGGGGGGAATACTCATTCTGATTATTCAATAGAGCCTACGGAAAGAACTAAAGCACGTCTACAAGGAACGCCTCCTGAAATGACCATCCTAAAAATAATAATGGGACATCTAATCTACCGTAAGCCTAGTCTTCTACCTCCGATCAACATTAACACCCAGATAACCACCAACAATTAGATGGCCCTACCCGAGGCTAATCTTTGGACCATTCTTGAAAGAGGAATGAGATGCCTAATTCTTTGTAAAGATTTAAGAGCTACCACTATGTCCTTTTATCTTTTCATGTATTCTGAGAGACTGTGGGGAAGAAAGACTATGACTCAAATGAGAGAAGCTGTAGTTTTCAGAGCACCCTGAGGGGTGCCATTTAACCCTTCCATTCTCAGTCCCCCCCCCAGCCCCAATGATAGATGCTCCATCCCAAAGCCCCAGTGCTAGATGATGCCACCCAAGGTTTCTGGGCCCCCAGACCCTTCAAAGGTATGGGGAGAAAGAGCTGAAATGGCCCAACTCAATGTCCTGTAAATCATATACGTGTGTGTGGTGGTGGGAGTGGTGAGAGTGGAGGTGGTGGGTGAGGGGACCCAGCAGAGCCGGAATGAGCGTGAACCGCGCTGGCATGAAGTCTCACCATCGTCCGTGGGGTCTCGGAAGGATCCTGACCGAATCATTCCCTTGGGTCTCTCGGCCAGGGACAGGGTGCTCCCCATTTGGGAGCCGCTGTACAGCTCGAAGGCCGCCTCGTGGGTGGGGATGCTGTTGGAGCGGGTGATTCTTGGCGTGGTGGCCGCAGTGGGACTCACTGGAAGGACAGAGGGAAGGGGGACAGGAAAGGGTGGGGGAGGGCAGGAAAAGAGGCAGGGTCATCAGCTCTCCGGTCCCTTGGGGGATGGAGCACCAGGAGCATGGGAGGCAAATGGGGAGAGGGCAGGAGAGGAGGGGGCAGGCGGGGCAGTGGGAGTGTGCAAGCAGCTGGTGGTTAGGAGTGGGGTCCCTCCTGGCGAGATCAAGCCCTAATGGAGAAGGACCCTGCTTCTGGGGTCAAGACCTTCCCTCAACCCTGCCTGCCTCAGAATTGTTGCTTTTTGAAGGTTAGGCTGGGGGCCTAGCAGCTTTTCCGAAACCTTCACATCACTCAGATGTGCTGATGAAAATGGGATGTTGTGGTTCTCTAAAATACAACTGGCAGCTGTTGAACTGGTCTGAGAATTCAGACCAAGACTCAGATCTGAATGATGGAAAAGAACCAGCTCGAGAAGGGGGCTGGGCAACGGGATCCGATGGGCTGGGCATTATGGAAAGGAGTGAGCATCTCCCCACAAAGCACCGTCACGCTAAGTTACTGGGCTGGCTCCAAAGCATCAAGAAATATGGCCCTCTTCGCCTAGCATTTGCCCGGCTTGGAGGTCAGTCAGACAGAGAGGGTGAAAGTGTCACGTAAGGCTTGTGGAATTTGCTTCGCAGTTGGGCACAGCTGAATCCTGTTAACCTGCAGCTTCTTCCCACTTTGTCCCCTGCTGGGGTTATACAGCCTCTCAGGGTTCACACCTACATAAAGCTCTCATTGTCTATTCTTTTGCCTCCACACGGGCAGGTGGATATCTAATCTGTCCTTGAATACCTGTGCAGAAGAAGACTTTACATCTCTCTTTGGCTCTTTCAAGTCCCTAAGGTGATCATTGCTCAGCCCAGTCCCTCATTCTGCAACATAAATGCATTTCTTCTTGTTTGGTCCTCAGTGGAGATGGAGAACAAGTGGTCCCATGCTCCACTGAACAGCCCATCGGAGGCCAGATGACCCTTCCTTAAGAATGGTTCCTTTTCCTAGGCAAAGTGATCCCAATTCCCAGTCTTCCCCAGATTCCCCACAGTCATCACATTGGTGTGTTACAATTCCTTGCCTTTAATTAACTGCTGTCTTTCACTCAGTTGAAAGAAGAGATGGATTCAGAGATGCAGCAAGCAAATAACAGGCTATCCCAGGCACTGTCCTGAAGGGGGTCCTGTCAGGCCAATCCTGGCATACTACTTCCCAGAACCGGGGCTTGTGTACTTCTGTGCTGAGGCCAGGCCCTCCACCTGAATGAAGCTTCCTCCCCTCCCAGTATCTGAATCATGAGTCATTTCCTTTTTTACCCAGCTTTCCCTTCCCCTTAGGCTTTAGAAAGGGTGTAGCCAGGACACGCCTTAGCCAGCTCTGCCTTCAGGGCAATGATGGCCCTGGCCCAGCCAAAGCAGTTGGGGAATCTGGACTTTTCTTTCTTTCTTTCTTTCTTTCTTTTTTTTTTTTATTTTTTTGAGTTGGAGTCTCACTCTGTCACCCAGACTGGAGTGCAGTGGCCGCTCCCGGCCACCGCAGCCTCGACCTGCTAGGCTCCGGCGATCCTTCCGCCTCAGCCTTCCGAGTAGCCGGAATTACAGGCGCGTGCTACCATGCCCGGCTGATTTTTTGATTTATTGTAGAGATGAGGTCTCGCTGCCCAGGCGGGTCTCGAACCCACGGGCTCAGGCGATCCACTCACCCCAGCCTCCCAAAGGCGCGGGATTACAGTCTTTCTTTCTTTTTTAAAATCTCTCCCCACCCCCCCAAATCTGGACTTTTCTGAGTTTGGAGGCAGATCCCATCCTGTCCCTCCTTCTTTCCCTACAGCCTGACATTTTAGTATTGCTCTTTCACTAGCTGGCTCTGGGAGCACTGGGTGTGGTGGCTCCTTTCTGGCAGTTCCATGGGCCTGCTCATTACATTGGTTTGATCTCCAGGCTTTGGTTTATGGCTTTTCCATGCCACCATTCAGACTCTCTGATGCTGTAAGGACTCTACAACTTGTGCCCAGGGGCAACTTTTCAGTTTAGGATTTTGGAGTACTTTGCCTTCAATCTTGTTTTGGGTGGATATACTGAGGCACCATGAAGCAACCCAATATAGCATCAGTCAAATATGAGATGAAACCCAAAGCCCACTGCCTTGCCTCACCCTGCAAGGTGACCCCTGCTTCATCCCATGCCGCAGTGAGTGACTTAGAACACTGACCTATGTTGGTAAGCTGGCCCTTTGCACTCAAGGACATGGAGAGTGCAGGGGGAGAAGGTAGCTCTGACTGGTCATCGGATTCCGGCACCCCACCAATGGTATGGGAGTGTCGCCGCTCCTTGGTCTCCTCCTGGGACTGAAGCTGGTACCTGTAGGAGGCAGCAGAAGACCTCAGTCTGGGAAACTACAAAGTGCTATTGGAGGTTTAGCTGGTATGGAGGATGTCTGAGCTAGGCTGGAGCCAGGAGATTCTGAAAGCAGGACAAGGAAAAGAGGGAGCAGTCAGGGCTGCCTTAGAAGGGAGCAAGAGGTAGTGACTCAGCATCCTTTTCCAGACCACCAAGAGGGTGAGGAAAGACTACAGGCGTTCTCGTGATGGTTCCTCAGATAGGGCAGAAATGATGGTGGAGGCATCAGAACTTCTTCCCTGAAGCTCAGGACAGCTTTAGGATTCCATGTGTGGCCTTTAAGTTGCAGGAATCACCACCCAACTGAATAACTCAATGCTTTCCATAAGAGTGGAAGACTAGGCATGTCCTGCTCTTTGCCTACCAAGAGGCAGGTTGGTCTTCCTCACAAATGAAAATTATGGAAATGAAATCCAGCGAGGATTGGGATAAAACAGGTTGGTATAGGTAAGTGTGATTCCCACATGAAAACTTGTTTTTCCTGTCACCAAAAAAAGAACACTTACTATAAAAGTTGACTCACATAGTATTAGGTTTAGACAGGGTGCTGGGTGGTGTTAGTACAGGACCACATACAAATGAGTTGGCTAAAAGGGTCACTAAAATTCATGACTGGATCCTGGGACAGGTCAAGTTACAATTTTTCAAACAGACCAGGAGTCCCAGGTATAGGGAAGAAAAAACATATTAAAAGGTTACCTGAGTCCTTTCTTGGGAAGAGTGTTCCGATCCCGCTGATTACTGTGGAGATTAAAAAAGAGAGAGAGAGAGAGAGAAGACTGTGGGTCCATCTTAGGAACTGGAGTTTGGGACCATCAGGATAAGGGTTACAGACCCTGGACACATGAAGTCAAACTAGGAGTGCTTTTATCTCTATCAATAAAATAAGGAGACAGTCGTAGCCTGCTTCTTGGCCCAAAATTTGGAAAATTTATCTGAAATGTTCATTGTTTTTTCTCTGATTAGGAATCAAGATGTGGATAGCTATTTTAAAAAGCAATTACTGTAGATGAAAACTAGGATGTTATATGTAGAACCAATTTTGGACTAGGAAGCAAAAGCTTTGGATGATAGGTTAAAGTAATCATGAGATCTTAGATAAGTCATTTAACTTATTTGTGCACTGGTTTTCTCACTTCTGAGAATAATGATATTTTAAAAACATCCCTCCTATCCCATGGAGTTGTTGCGAAGCAAATAAAATTACTTAATATATGTGAAGATATTTCAAAAGTCACAAAGTGGCAATAAAATACAAGATACTACTGCTAATGGCAAAATGAGCCTGAGGCATGAAGACCAGCTCAGGCTCAGCTCTGCCTCCACCCACCTACCTGTCCAATTGCCCGGTTCTGGGGCTTCCACTCCAGGCCAGCTCTTCCGTCTCTTCCTCTGGGGGAGCAGCAGGGGGAGCAGGTGGGGTAGGGATGGGAGTACTGCTGGGGAAGGCACTGGGCAGGCTCATTGGCATCTGGAGGGACTCCATGCTCCTGTGCAGGCCTGAGAGTTTGGGGTACATGCGGGTCTCCTTTGGGACACTGAAACCACTCATGAGCTCCAGGCCCTGGGAGAAGCTGGCTGAGTTAATATTGAGGATGGGTGCCGGACTAGGGGTGAAGCACGAAGGGTGAGGGCCCCCAGTGGCTGTGCTTGTAGCATGCAGATCTGGGACCTTGGAAGCGTGGGTGTCGCTGGACGATGGCAGATCCAGACTGTTGGAGTTGACCTTGTCTAGATTGGCTAGTGAGGGTGGCTTGACAAAGCTCTTAGCTGTGGCCCTGAGAAAAGTGAAGATAAAATATTTAGGATAAGAGAGTTACAGAGCAAGAGGCAGACAGAATCTTTAAAAATCCCCATTCAGTTTTGTTTTCTGGCTATTTGCTAAATACAGAGGTTGATCCTAATGCTTTTGTAAAACACATTGGAAGGAAATCCGATACCCAATTTGGGACAACCTTCAGTCTTGATAAAGGAGACAGCATATGCACAAGGGAGACATAAGTGGATTTATACACATGGAAATGTAAGTGTAAATAAACACAGTAAAACCACCCATGTAAGTGCTGAAGACAATTTAAGTGTAGGGCAGGGAATAGTACAAAGGCATCAGTTTTCAATACGGTTTTGAAAGAGGGAGAAAAATCTTGATATATAGGGGAAGAAGAAGGGAAAGACCCACACAAAGGCCTAGAGACAATAGTAGCTAGACCATGCTTGACCTAATCTAAGGAGGACAGGGGTATGCAGAAGAATGACAGAGCAAACAGAAGGAGGTAGCCACCCAGTTTGGGTACCTGAGAGGGGTTGGTGGTAGCTCTGCCAACTTGGTGGATGGGGAGTGGCTTGCTTGGTTCTTGGGAGTACTTTCTGGGGAGCCAATGCTCTTCAAGGAGATGTTGTCTGAGTCCAAGGCCACTGCCTTGGCTTTGGCCTTCTCCTTTTCCCGATCAGTCTGATTGACAGGGGCTGGAGTGGTTCGCCCACTGGCTACCTTGGAAGGCTCCTTCAGTCTGGAGGGCGTAAGGCCTCCCTGCTTGGTGCTGAGGAGACTGGGGTCAATGCTGCTGCTAACAGGGCGAGGTCCACCCCGCCCACCGGTCACACTCATGGAACTGGACTTGGCTGGCCGGGGCAGGCTGCGGTACTGGATGTTGGAACGGGCTCCAGGAGCCAGGAATCCTGGCTCTGCACTGTTGGACACATCTAAGCTAGTCTTGCGTCCATTCACTGGCTTGACAGGAATGCCTGAGGACTTCTGTATCTTGCTGAGAGTAGCTGAACCACCAGTCTGCATGACAGTGGCTGTGCCTGTGGCAGGAGGAGGCTTCTTGTAGCCAAAGGATCCTGAAGTAGAGGGGCGGGCAATGCCCGAGGGAGGCTTTTTAGCATCACTCAAGCGATCCCGACCAGCATCAGAAGAGGAGCGCTGTAGCCCAGTATTCTTCACTGCAAGCTTACCCTTGTCTGTAGCTTTGCCTTCAGGTTTGCCTGTGGGAGGGCAGGAAATGAGGTAAGAGTAGCCAAAACTAACCAATACCTTAAAAACTGATTTCTTTCCCTCTATGGGAGAAGGGAACCTTGTCAATATATTGTAGAATTTCAGAAGCCTAAATATGGGTAAGGAGGTACAAGATAAGCTGATGAAGATTCTTGTCAGAAGGACTCTAGGTGTGAGAGATGGGGAGACTAGGATTTTGTTTTGTTTATTTTGTTGTTTTTCTGCTCTCAAAGTAGGAAGGTCCATTTTGGTAAAAGTGGCAGAGGCAACCACAAAGACGATCAAGAGCATCCATCCAACAACTGGTTGAGGAAGGGGAAAAAGCAGAGGAAGCAAATGGAACAGAGTATGGTAACATCTACTGGTAATTAGAGACTGTAGGGAAATGTTGATTAAGGCTAAAAGCTACCCAAAGGACCAACTTTGGGAGCCTTATAAGTCTCTTGCTGTAGCCACTTTATTGTTTTCTTAGGACCTTCCTGGGATATTAAGCAAGTATCTTATGAAGATAAGTATATGGACTGAATGTCTCGGGAAAGGAAATAAATAAATTAATGGGAAGTGTTTGAAGGGAGGTCAAACTGATCTCTGAACATAATATGCTTCTTCCTCTACTTCTTAGCAACTGTGATTTTACCCAGCTACTTAACCTCTTTGAGTTTCTATTTTCTCCACATTTATAAAATGAAGACAGTAATATTCATCTTTCCTAACTCAAAGGACTGTCCTGAAGGACTTAAAACACTATACAAATATCTGATATCATCCTATGGGTTAATGACCATTAAGATGTGGAGCAACCAAAGAAATAAATCTTTGCCCTTGTGCCTTCCTTTATTTCAGGTTCACCTGCTACTTTGAGAGCACTCTGGGCAGTGTGAGTGATGGGGGAAGTGACAGCCACCGGTGGGGTCTTCCCCTTCTTCAGGGAACCAGGGTGTCCCAGGCTGATGGGTTTTTTCAGTTCTCCACTCTTGGATGAATCATCACAGCTTTCAGGTCGTTCTCTCCGCCACTTAGAAGTCCCAGGTTCCATCTTCAGGCTACCGCTGTCGTACTCTAGTTTTTTGGGGGCCTTTTCCTCTGATTCACTAAACCAGTTTAGCCCACTTTCTGCCAGAGAGCGTTTCTCTGAGTCTGTGCGTAGCTAAAGAGAAGAGAAGAAGGAGAGTGATACTCATATGGGGATGGAGAAATAGATAGCTGAGGGGACTGATTCTGATTAGTGGGTGGTCCTGCTCATCCCAGAATATTAAGTCAACCCAGAGTTTCTACCTATACCCCTAGGGTTCCAGAGAGCAGATATCATGTATATCACTGGGTATTTTTTTTCTTCTCCAGTTGGAATAGCTCTTACATGTATCACTCCAGATTGGTGTGGACACTAAGTATAGACAATATGACAACATCTAGTGTCTTGGGTGACTGCTTGGTAGCCTTTGTTTTTTTGTTTTTGTTTTCTTTTTTGGCAACTCTAAAAATGTTGGCCAAAGGCCTGTGAGAACCAACCCAATGGAGTGGGTGTGTACGTGCAAGCACATACACAGGCAGTGCCCAGTTTGCCCCAAGGGTCATCTTGAGATGGTGGCCTGTGTGTTGCAAACTCACGCACCACTATTGTAGAGTTCCTACGAGAAGCAGTGGGAGTCGTTGGGAGGGAGTTGAGTGAGGAGCTGGCATTGAATTCTTCTGAGCTGAGGTTGTCAGAGGCATCGCTGAGTCCACTGCTGATGGAGCTGCTTTCATCCCAGCTACAGGACAGCAGAGAGAAAGGTTAACAGTTAAAACAGAAGCCAAGGCAGAAAATAAACTCTTCATATTGAAGAGTTCTACACCATGTATAGACTGGCCAAAAGAAGCAAGCTTGGGTGTTTGTCCTGGGTTTGCCAGTAATTCAAAGTGTGACTTAAACTTTGTAATTTGGTGATGTTCTTTTTAATAAAAGGAAGAGACTCTGACTCTGTCTGGCAAGAGAAGATGTTATAGTTATATCTTCTTACCCAGAAAATTATATTAGAAAGACAAGGTAATTTTTGAATCCATCTAATTATACAAACCAATTTCCTCTCCCTATAAGCAGTCTCCATATATAAAATTACCACATTTTTAGATTTGTTCTCCAGGTACTCCTCCATCCCCATTCTAAAATTTCCATAGCTGATAACAAGGCCCAGGAAACAATTTCTCTTTTCTAGAACACCTTATGGATTTATCATTTCTCATTGTTCCCTTGTTTATACGGTTCACCCTATCCTGGGATCAGGTCCTGCTTCTCAACAGTATGTAATACTCATCTAGTAAATGAACCAAATCTAAGGTGCTGTGGCCAAGCAGAGGTATCAGATTGGTACTGAATGGTTTTATTTCTCTGCCAACTGCTTGGAATTTCAGATTTGTATCAGGGAGAGACTGTTGTTAAACATCTGTATCTGTAAACATCTGTATCTGAAAACCCTAGTTCACATGCTAAATGAACTTAACTCCATATCTTTGTAGCTTGTGGCTCTACAACATTCCTTTTGCTGTTCATTTCTGGTTATTAAATTTCACAGTCAGAAAGTTTATTCTTGGTTGGGTGCAGTGACTCATGCCTGTAATCCCAGCACTTTGGGAGACCGAGGCAGAAGGATTGTTTGAGTCCAGGAGTTCAAGATCAACCTGGGCAACATAGTAAGAATTCATCTCTATAAATAAATAATAATAATGATGAAAATAACTAAAAAATAAAAAAGAAAGCTGATTTTTTTTTTTGAGATGGAGTCTCACTCTGTCGCCCAGACTGGAGTGCAGTGGCCGCTCCCGGACACCGCAGCCTCGACCTGCTGGGCTCTGGCGATCCTTCCGCCTCAGCCTTCCGAGTAGCTGGAACTACAGGCGCGCACTACCACACCCGGCTGATTTTTGATTTATTGTAGAGGTGAGGTCTCGCCAAGTTGCCCAGGTGGGTCTCAAACCCGCGGGCTCAGGCAATTCACTCACTTCAGCCTCCCAAAGGCGCAGGATTACAGGCTGAGCCACCGAGCCCGGCAGAAAGCTGATTCTTAACATCGAAACTAAATTGTCTCCTCTACCATTTATATTAATTTCCTCTTGTTCTATCTTTTTTTGCTATTCACAGGTTTCTTTATCACACTCACTGTTTTCTAAGCTCAAATTCTGTCTCCTATAAAATCTTTCTTCAAAAGTCTCATTTTCCAGTCTTTTGCAACTTTTTCTGGACCCTAAAAAATTCTTCAGATGTCACTCAAGGCTTAGATCCTAAAACTGAACACAGAAGTTCTGTAACACAGTAAATTCAGTAAAACAGGTACATTAGTATGTTTGTGCCTATAGGAATTAATCTCTAAATTCCTGCATCTGTGTTCAGAGTAGGTATGTTTATCAGCTTTGCGTGTGTGCAAGGAGTAGAGACTAAAGATGTTTTTTGTGAATTAGCCGGTATCTGGAAAATTTTCCTTTTTATTTTTATTTTCATGTCATGGAATAAAAATCAGACACACAAGTCATCTAAGTGCTTGGCCCAGATTTCAGCTGGCCTCTCTAATGCATGTGCTGGGAATAGGAAAGTGGGTGGTTTGGACATTTGACTTTGTTGATCTGTAGTGATTTATCCAAATACATTGAGAAAGAGCAAAGCAAGCATGAGGATTAGAGCACACTACAGAGTTACTTAAATTTTATTACTACGAAATATAGCCATTATTAAATGACAATCTCTTCTCCCCTCTCCCTCCTGACATACATTAAATCTCACATTTGTCCTGGGATAAGATATCACACCCCTCACCCCCCATTTTTTAGAAAAAGAATACTGAAGAAAGATCACTGCTGGTTTTATGATCCTATCAACTCTTCTGGCCCAAGATAAGATCTCTGGCAGGCAAACAAACAAACTATTCACAGCATGTTCTCTAGGTCAAATACAGGAAGACTGTAGCACTGCATCTTTCATCTGAGATTAATTATTGGTAATCATGGTCTTGGCGCAAAGAAAGTGCTCATGGAAAGGCCCTTACAAAAAGAAGGTTGCTGCTGTCTAGAAATTAAAAGACAAACAGACAGACAAACAAACCTACTTTTGCCCTACATTTATGGAAAGTCTAACACAGAAATAGAGGAGGGGGATATTTATCTATCAGGAGAGAATTCAAGTTCTCCTTATCCAAACTCATTCCCTCCCAAGCTCTTTTCCTATACTGAGAAAGTATAAGCCTAGAAATACCAGGGAAGATGCTAGAGGATATAAGATTTCCTAGCAAAATTCCTTTGCAAGTTCTAAACAAAAGGAAAATTCTGTTGTCATTACCCAAAGATTAATAGAGATTCTTCTTCGGAGAAAGCATTTTTTTCTTTCTTTAAACAAAATTACAGAAGTAATACATGCTGTAGTGAAGACTCAATATTACATAAAAATATCAAGGGAAAAGGAAAAATGCTCCTTTTTTTGCCCTCCCATTTTTACTTCTAAGGTAACCACTACTAACAGTTTCTTGTGCTTCCTTCAAAAATATCCCTCTGCATATCTCTGTCTTCTAGCTGTTTGCTCTCCAGATCTGCTGAATAGTTGACATCACGGGACCATACCTCATCACCCCAGAGTCTTTTTACCTGACTTAATTGGAATGTTCCTCTTTCTCTTTGTTGGTTTATGCCCTTGTTTTAGTGAAGTACCTTTTCTAGTAGGTTCCTGAAAAACAATGCCTTGAAAGTAAACTCTGTAAGGTCTTACATATCATAGAATGCCATCTTTTTTTCTATCTTTACATGTGAGATTTTGGCTAGCCATAGAATTCTAAGTTGAAAATAATCTTTTAGAATCGAAAGCCATTGCTATTATCTAGCTTCTGTTGTTGCCGTTTTGATTCCCTGTCCTTAGTGTATCACCTGTTTGTCTCCTCTTTGGAACTTTTAGCATTTTCTTTGTGCTCTGAAATATCGTTAATGATGTGCCTTGGTGTGGACCTAGTTTTACCCATCGAGTTGGGTACCTTTCTGGATCCTTTGGATCTGAAACTCATGACCTTTCATTCTGGGAAATTTTCTCAAATTTTTTTTGACGATATGTCAGTTCTCTCTTCATGAATGTCTGTTATTCAGGTAATAGATTTTTAGGATGACACTCTGATTTTCTTACTTTACTCTCGTATTTTCCAGCACTATTATTTTTTAAAAATTCTATTTTGGGGGCAGTGGCCTGTTTTATCTTCCATCCTCTGTTAAGTCCTTCATTTCTTCTATCATATTTTTTATTTCCGAGAGTTCTTTTTTTAAATTTTAAATGGCATATCATTATTTCTTTCAAAGTTACAATCTTTTCTCTCAACTCTGAGAGACATTCATTCACTCATTCATTTGGAGGGGCAGGTTTCCAAACTCTTTGCATAGTTTCTGGTTCCAAGTTGCTTCGCTCTCTTTGTGATGGTGAAACTTTCATGTCTATAGACCTTCTCAAATGTCTGATGATGCTTGGCTGTTTGCTCATATGGGAGACTGGGACACTCACTATAAGTTATTTGGAAGTTTTATACACAGGATAGGACTTGTCAACTATGACTTCAATATAGGGAGATGTGATTAGACTGACTCATTTAATTTTCTTACGGGTTGGTCGGATTTCCTAGAAATGAATTTTCCAAACTCCAGCCTGAAGTGTTCTGAGAGTTGTCAGAGGAGTCTGGAGGTTTTAATATTCAGTATGCAAAGTTTCACTTATTCCCCTCCCCCTTGTTTTAGTTCAAAATCTATGCCCCCAACTTGTGCCAGAACTTGTTTTACTCTTCAGAAAAAAAAAGTCTCCAGTCTTCTGCTGATGAAGGGAAGGAACAGTTGCTTTTCTGGGAGCAGGTGAAGGAGAGGATCTGAGAGTCTGAGTGTTTCTTACATAAATTTTCAACAGGCCGGGCATGGCAGTTCAAGCCTGTAATCCCAGCACATTGGGAGGCTGAGGCAAGAGGATTACTTGAGGTTGTGGGTTCGAGACCAGCCTGGGCAACATGGTAAGACCTTGTCTCTACAATAAATAAAAAAATTAGCCAGGTGTGGTAGCGTATGCCTGTAGTTCTGGCTACTTGGAGGGCTGAGGTGGAAAGATCACCGGAGCCCAGAAGGTTGCCACTGATGTGGCCATGAGCGAGCCACTGCACTCCAGCCTAGGCAATGGAGTGAGCCTCCAACTAAAATAAATAAATAAATAAAAATAAATTTTCAACAGTCCTGTTTTTAGATTTACCTCGTCCCCCCAATAAATACCTGATACCACCAATTATGAAGCATTTTGAGGGTTCTGGGGTACAAACAGAGTTGCTGCCCAGTTTCCTCTACTGCTGGTTTTGAGTTTAGCTCTGAGTCTGATAGATCAGTTCACCCTTGCCATTCTGATTTCCAGCATTTCAAAATCTCACTGCTATTATTTCCTCCTTCTCATATTCTTTGCTTGTCCTTGTGATTTATGACTAAAAAAAACCTCTTTATTGTCATTTTACTCTTGTGGTAGCTGTGAAATATATTAAACTAATTTTACTAGCAGCAAAATAACCCTAAGTGACACTTAACAGAGCTTGTTCTTTTGGATAAGATATCTTGGTGGGTAGTCTTTGAGTGGAGTAAAGACAGGAGACATTAGCTTTGGAGTTCCATCATCAAATCAGGCAGAGGCAGAAGGAACCATCTAGATCATTTTTTTGTTTGTTTGTTTGTTTTTGAGTTGGAGTCTCACTCTGTTGCCCAGACTGGAGTGCAGTGGCCGCTCCCG